CAAATAACTACTCCAAAAAAGTTTTTCAGTTTTCAAATATGTCGTTTTCATTAGATCCTAAATGATGATATTTCCCCACAAAGACTATCTGAACGCGCACTCTATCCAAACAGTTATTATCAATTTCCTAAACGCAAGGCCTCTTGTGTCAGTTCGTCGCTATCTTGCAGACAGTTGAGTGTGACAGTGAGATACTGGGACTGTTGAGTACAAGTCAGGAAAGAGGCTTAAGCACGGATGAAGGTGGGACTTCTGTTTGTTTATTCATTTATCAAGTCTAAGGGGAATTTCATAGGGCCGCTTCAGAATGCAGACAAAGGTCAGTCCTTTCACTCCCAGCAAACACACTCGACCACGTGACGCATTCATTAGCTATATTAGATTACACTGCGATTTCAACAAAGTTATTGTATTAGCGATTTGTTCTCCAGATAAACTACAACATCTGAATGGTCTGTTTTAAGACGTTACTGTGCCTCAATAAAAGCATCTTTCTTTCTTTTCTGCAAATCTAGTCATTACATCGTTTTGTAGCTTCCTGAAAACTGATCTAGTTTTCGTCCCTCTGCCTTGCCAAACAAGCATACATTCAGTGACAAAAGCACTTTTCTGTAATGTAATTGCCTGAATAGTACACAGCAATGAATGCCTGGCTGTAATCTTGAAATTGGGATTTTACTAGGATGTAGATTATTGTTGATTCAGATTTCTGAATATTGTTTTGACTGATATTCCATTAATGAGGACAAACAAACCTCTGGGTGACCATGACAGCCAGGGCTGAATCTTCAGTCACTTGTGTCTCCTTAGATAAGAAAGTTCAGGAAAAAGGAGGGGTGGTTTGAGATAAGACTGCCAACTGTGGACTTTGCATCAGCCATTTATGAATGTAAATTGCTGCATGTCTGAGACTCAGAATTGATGTTTCGATCACATTTTCATCTGTTTTTACGTCTGTTTAAACTTCTGTGATGAATGCTGAGTTCATTTATTTTCAACAAGTGTGCTAAAAATGACAAAATGTGCATTTTATTTGTTGAAAAGAATTCTGAGAAAGAAAGACTATTTTAAACTACAGTGTGCTCTGAATAAGAAACACATGGCAGATTTCACAAATGCCTGATTCAAATGATTAAATAAAAATCACGAGCACACGGAAAGACAATAAATCATCAGCAATGTTTGCTGGAGTTGCAGCTCTCTTCAGCTGTACGTTTATTTCCAAAAGACTGCATATACATCAGCAAACTCTACTGTACAGAAAACATCCAAAATGTTCATAATCATACATACAATATACCACAAAGCTGGCCTGGCAATACCAAACAAGTATATTTAGCACTAGAAAAGCTCTTGACCCCTGCATATCAGTGTTATATAGTGTTTTCTTTTTAACTGATATCTTACAGTACGTTTGCATGATTCGGAACTGTCTTCTTAACCTGTACAACATTCACCATTTACAGAAGTTATACAAGGCACAAGAATCATAATTTGAAGCAAAGGCCTAAGTATAACATGGATGTTGGACAGATAAACAGTATTGGTAACTTATCGTTTGAAGGCTTTTGTACTAGTTCATCAAACAGTACCACTATTAAAGCAGTCCACAATAATAGGGCAAAATCAGAAGTTTGGTTTGATAGCCATTTCTAGAATTACATATATATTTTTGCTAGAGTCATTTCTGTACTTTTTAACGCATAACTTAACCCTCCATTGTTTGGACATGAATATGAATATTAGGAAAAGTGATTCAGGGCAAATTAATGACATGTTTAACTCAAATATTATATAAAATAGTTTGAAAAACAATAAAGAATAATAAATAAAAATCTGTTTTGGGGGCCTCACAGCAAGAAGGTCGCTGGTTCGAGCCCCGGCTGGGTCAACTGGCATTTCTGTGTAGAGTTTGCATGTTCTCCCCGTGTTTGCGTGGGTTTCTTCCAGGTGCCCTGGTTTCCTCCACATTCCAAGCATGTGTTATAGGTGAATTAAATAAGCTAAGTTGGCCATAGTGTATGAGTGTGAATGTAAGGAGGTATGGGTGTTTCCCGGTGTTGGGTTGCAGCTGGAAAGGCATGCGCTGCATAAAACATATGCTGGATAACTTGATGGTTTATTCCGCTGTGGCGACCCTTGATTAATAAAAGGACTAAGCCGGAAATAAAATGAATGAATAAATAAATATTTTGGGGGCTGTTTGATACAGTTGTGTGATACTGCTGTTTAATACATTGGTGTCCACCAGTAAGGTGGACAATCTTGTTAAATGCCTAATATGAAGTATATAAACATAAAATCGATGAGTAAGAGATACTTATTTAATCATTGGTGTTCAACAATTGCCATGTTTGTTTAGATTAGGGTGATTCATCTGAATAAGTGTGCCTGATGCCATATAAACCTTGGTGCACAATAAAATAGTGGACAGAAACTCCTGAAAAGGGCTGGGCGATTAATTGAAATGTAATTGAAATCGACATTCAGAACCTATAATCGATAACATTTTCCAGGTCAATTTTTTCAATTACTTTCCTTACCGGAGTCATGTGACCATGCTCTGTTAAAAGGGTGGTCCACTACGATATTATATTTTAAACTTTATTTGATGTGTAATGTAGCTGTGTGAACAAAACAACATCTCTCTAATACGCTCAACGTTCTATACAAAGGGAGACATTGGCTTAGCAAAGCCTACAGAGAACAAAGTTTATGGACAACAAAAATACATCCAGGCTTGTGAGATCAGAAACACTTCAGGTTACGTGGATTCACCACACAAACACACCCTGCGCATCGAAGGGGCGTGGCCAAAGAAAGGTAAAATGCTGTCTAAACGCTGCTATTTCCACAGAGCATCTTCTGTTTCTGTATTTGGGCTTCTGAAGGACACGACACAAAGAGAGAAGTGCTTACAATTTAATTTAAAGTATGTTCCAGAGATTTATGAAAAAATATTTTAGTGCTGGATTTGGCTAAAAACTCGACCAACAGAGGAAGCTGTGGATTGTGAGCCACAACCTGTAAGTATTTTTATTTGTTAAAATTAATTTGTTACATGCACAGTTCCTAGAGTTAATGGTATGTCGTAGTGAGGACGTAAACAAGGATGTAAACAACGGGAAATGCTGTTTGGCACTGCCAACAATTTGGCTACAAATCCATATTTATCCGCCAAACTGCTGTAAACACTCACTATCTTCACCAGCGCTTCAGTGTCTTTCTCTGCTGCTCCTTTCCCTGCATTCTACATCTCAAATAACAAACTCGCAAAATATATGGGATCATTTCATATTACTTACACATGTTTATTCCGAATATATGTGAAAGTCACTTGTCAGATTTTATTGTAGAGAGCCGGCGTGAGGTTCAGCTGTGTGCTCCTCATTTTTCTGTCTGATTTAGGCAGCTAACGTGTGCTTGTAGGGGCATCACGTGGTGCCGATTTCACGAATCACAGCACATTATGTCAGCTGACCAAACAGAGCCTCTTGATGGCAGGCCTTTCAGAGGAACTTGTAGGAAAATATTGTATAGTTGTTTTCATGTTAGCTGAGTAGCTGTATATAATCAAAGATATATAGAGAAATAACGGAATTTTCTACATGAGAACACATTGCTTTGCATCTTATAAACACAACCAAGCCTTAAAAATAAACCATGGACCACCGCTTTAAGGCTGATTTATACTTCTGCATCAAACGTACAGGTATAGTCCAGTGCAACATTCGCGGGCACCCCTCTTGAAAAATGTAACTACACGTTGCGCGTTTGCATTACATTGACTTGAGACAGCATATTTTCAATTACAATAAAATTATTTACATTGAAAGTTATATTTTCTACTTTTGAAAACATGGAAATTAATAAATTTTGTTTTCAAAAGTGCAAGTTGTTTGTTTTCCCTTTTTATAAGAAAAAAGTGACTGTTTGTTTTAGGCAATGTGTGTTTTAATTTACCCTTCGCTAAGCCAAACCCCAAAACCGCCACCAACCAATTGTAGTTTAGCAACCGTAGCTACGCGCAGGAGCTCTGTTAAGCTTTTGAGTGAGGGAAACAGGCCAAATCGTTGTGCAAATGGATTGTGCAAATCTGATACCCGGTATCCTAAAAGTTTGGACAGAGTGGTGAAATTTTTTCCCTTTTCAAAACCTAAAACCCAAGAGGAGAAATGCCAGCATGGATCAAACTCTGTGAGGGGCGCTAAAGGAGCGGAGTAAAGTTTGTTTTGTTTTCGATATTCACATTTAGTGATAGACCGACGGCAATAACTCACACACCTCTTACCCTAAACAGATCTAAACTGTGTTTCCTACAAAAATACAAAGCAAGTTATTTTTTACAGCTGTCTTTTTCTTTTTTTCCCGCTCGATATTATGAGCACTGCTCCGTTTAAGCCTTCGCCATAGTAGTCATTCTAATAGCAATCATATTTCCATCTGTTTCAAGCTACGAATATTTGAAATTACATATCAACGGAACAAAACAGAAATATGATCACAATCTCAGCACTTGCGATCAATATACTTCATCCCCAGCTGTTTTGTAGTAATTTATAAGCCTCCTGTCCTTGTCAGAGCTACAATCCACTGATGTTTTCCTCTGTGTTTTGGAGTCATTGGAGACGATGTTATAGTGCAACCTCTGCTTTTATATTTGTTGTCCGATTAATATTTGCTGGTAGAGAAAATCTATTTGTTCACTTCAGCTATTTATACTTTAATTAGCATTTCAATTTATTTATTTATTTCACTTAACTGCTAATTAGAATAGAAACGGTATGAAGAGCAAACAAACATACGTACAGACAGTGATAGGTTCACATTGTTATGGTAAATGATGCTAATATCGGTACAAATCCATTCCCTTTCTGGCTGCTCTTTCTATGAATGAATTATGTAAAAGGACTGTCCATGCATGTTTCCTCATTGGTTAGTAACGCTATATTTCATTGCACAACAATTAATCCATCAGGCTTTTTGGCAAAAAAAACTGAAATTACGGTTTAATTTGTTATTATTCGATTATGTTTTAATTTCACCTCTCCTGCTGTGCATGAACTAAGCTGTAGAATGGTCGGCGTATGAGGCAGCTAGGGTAAGCTAGCTTCAATTTTGATTAAATCATTTTCTAATCGGTTGCTATTATGTCGTGAATATACCCTTGTAATGCATACTGCATACCATTTTTGTCTGGCTGTCTCGTATATCCCACCTGTTTGCCAAAAATGACTAATTATATCCCTGGCAATGTCTGACACTGGCGCATACACATTGTAATAGACGTTGCAGGCACAAAAGCTTGACAGGAGTAGCAACAGTAACTAAGGAGGGTGGGGCTTAGCGAAGGGTCCATTTAAGTTTTTCAACATTGAGGGTCAATAAATAATCATAGATAGTAGATAGTGTGTGTTTCCTTCAATAATTTTAAATCAAGTAATGCACCCTTCATTCAAAAATCTCTCACTTTTAAAATGTCCGCATATTTACTGTACAAACCATGTGAGGGGCAAAAAATAAATAAATAAACATATAATATTCGGTCATTAATCAAAATAGAGTCAAAATGTTTAATTAATTAAGATTTTGATTTTAGGTCAAATCGCCCAGCCCTAGGTTTCGGTCCACTTCGCTCCAACTCCGGTGCAGTTCAACTAAAATATGAACACAAAATGAACCAAAAATACGATAATATGTCATAGGATCCCACCCTTAATAGGACAGAATGTTCATGCATACCTTTTTTTTCTTGCCACATCTACAACGTTGCCAATTACAGTTCAATACAAGCATGAGAGATGCGCAAAGGAGCAGACCTTCATTTATGAGTGTGATGGAGAAATTCCTGGTGCTGTTTTGACTCCTTTTCATACCCCACACAAAGCATTGTATTGGATGTCCAGTAAGTTCTGTTTAAAATGACAGTATGAATGCAAAGTGAATCAGAAACATATAATTTCCCTTTAAGAACCAAGAAACTAAATAACAAGTGTAACCACTTCTATAAAAACAACTTAAATGAGCTCTTGGAGGCATTTCTGTTTGAGAGAGAAGGTTAATGAGATAGATGACATGAAAAGAAGAACATAACTTTTTTTTTTCTCTCCTGTACTTGACGGCATTTCACCCCACATAGCTGCTTTCCTTTTATCAGACCTTAATTATAACTCTCCCTGCTCAGCGGCCCATGTTGCCCTATTGTGTTTGACGCCGCACGGAGGAATTTGGTCAGAGGAGATAAGACAGGCTTCATTTTACAAAAGTCTCTTCCTTTTCAGCCGCATTTCAAAAGAAAGCCAGAAGTGTTAACAAAAGGGATGTGCTGCCGTTTGCATGGCTTAAGCCAACCCTGCTTCTGGTCAATATTAGTCTCAAGCCTGACGCTCACTATAAAAGGCATGATATAGTAGTGCTCTCTGTTCCTGATGACTCATATTCGCTCACAGGAACAGTAATGCATTCGAGCACACGGGTGGGTTATGCATTTTCAGAGGGAGGAACGTAATTGATTTTTAGCCCCTAACCTGCATGAATGAGATTCATTTCTACTGCGCAGTCACTCTGCCATAGCTGAAAACAAAGTTAGAATACCTCATGTTATTCATCAGCTGATCCTATTAGGACGGCAAAAAGGCAATAAAACAACAATGGAAACAAAAGAACATGGTGAGCCACGTTCACAATGCGTGATGTGCAAAAAAGGCAGGAGTGTACTTCCCTTTCTTGCCTTCTCGATACATCATATAGTGCAAACAAAGCGCACGTCAGTGATCACATGCAGATGGGGTCTAAATACTGTGCAACTGTTGGAAAAGATGCACGAGAAAAGCCTGCACCTATCTAATCCCACACAATAAAAAACAAAACAGGAAAGGCTAAGGCGGAATTTTGTGTAAGATGCGATGGCTTGGCACTCTGACGTCTAAGCTTTGCCAAATTTATTCCAACTTTGCACATGTACAGATAAGTGAGCGCTCGCATCTGTTCCCGGTCTCCTCTCAGACTGGATGCACCTCAGCTCCGTTCCACTTGGACTCCAAATTGAGTTGTGTCTGGTGAAACACATGAAGTTTTCCGTCGTCCCTCAAAACGTAAAGTCTGTTTCGTTCTCATCTGGACTCTGAGGCAGACTTTTACAGTGAATCTTTCCAATCTCCTCCAAAGCACTTGCGAGCGAGTCAAGATCTCCACTGTCCTGATGTCTGGCTTCCCAGAGACTGAGAATGACAGCAGAGGGACTCTTCTGTTTGGTGAAGTAGGACAGATTCCTGTGCAGACAGAAATGGAGATTTTTGAGAACACAGAAAAGGCTTTTTAAGCTACATTCACACTCATTTTAGGTTCCATTCACACTGTCCGGCCGAATCTGACTGGAATCTCTTGTAAATAATTGACTGTCCACATTGTGTAGATCCATTTTTGTAAATGGTGCACTTTGGTGTTACTTGCATAAAATTAAAATGAGTTTGTAAGACAGATACTTTCAACACGCCAATGTTACAATATGTTGACTTTTAAGCCTTCTATAGACTGCAATTTAAGCATTTTTACAAACTACTGTGTTCAATAATACACGTTGGTACTATATGATGATAATCACTATTAAATTGTAGGCTACACAGCTAGTTAACATTATCAGTGTGCTTAAATGTTAAACAAATACAGCAAAATAAATTACGCTTTTTATGTGCAGAAGAGAAGAGGAAAGAACATGGATAGGGAAATGTGGTTAACTTCATATGCCATTTTTGCAAAAGGAACTTGGTATTTAGTTATAATGCCACGTTCCATTGATGTTATTTCCATTTTTATTGGCTAATCATTAGATATAGGTCATAGCAGACAAAGACATAGTGAGATGATCATAAATCATAAGAATGTCAGTAGTTTTTTCAGAATATTTTTGGTCACAAGACCTTCAATTTTGGCCTCTTTCATAGTACAGCGTAGGACCACCATTTATGATCCATGCCAAAGCAAATCAGCACAGTTGTTTCACATTAGTCATCTATCTTTCAAGATAATCCAAAATTGCATACCATTATGTGGCAGGGATGGGAACTGTAATAGTGCTATCATCTCCACCAGTTTCAACATTTGAAACAGTGCATAGATCAGGGCTGGCTTTCTTGAACATCAACTTAACATGCTGCTTAATTACCATATATGTATTGATGGAAGTTGTAAGCATAAGCGTAAGTTTGCCAAAGACATTTGTCATTAAATGCAGGGTATCCACGGGGTCTTACATTTCAAAAACTAAATTTTAGGCGTTAAAAAGTCTTACATTGACTGAAATATAGTATTGTAGGTCTAATATCATTTTAAAAGGGTCTTAATTTTCCTTTTTTTATGTAAAGCTTCCCAATTGATCCAACACACATCCAATCACTAACAAATACAAGTGAATAAAACTTTTAGAACAGCATTGTGTATACATTTACAAGGGTTTTTTTATGTTGTCACTTAAAAATATATGTATATAACTAGGAGCTGCTTGTTTTGACACATTATTTAAAATATGTGGCTAAGAAATAACTAATAAGAATTATAGGCAAATCATATTAAATACGGCAAGTGCATTTTTTTTCTCATGGGTTGTTAAAAAATTTGAAATTTTATTCTTCATGGTCTTAAAAAGTCTTAAATTTTACTGTGGAAACCAGCGGAAACCCTGTAAATATCATGCAAGGTTAGGTTATACTTCTAAATAAGTTTGAGAAATAATGTCAAATTTGGGCTGTAAATCCATCATAAAACGCTCCCATAAACAAACTGGGTTACACACGTCTTGAAAGACGCATTCATAGTGGAATTTCCTGAAATAGATGCGTCTCACAGGAACCGTTTAGCACACAGTTTGTTTACAAACATTGGGGTAAACAAACTTTGGGGTAAGTACTTACTTTCTTTTTTCTTAAGGAAGAGAATAGCCAAACCTGTCTTCCACCCTTCCTCAGTCACTTGAGCAAGGCAATGAACACCAAACTGCACAATGTGTGTTTGTGAATCAATTTAGATAAAAGCGCATGCTAAATGTAATGTCAATTGCAAATTGTTGAGACATGTCTTTTCCCAGAAATTCCGCTACGAATGTATCATACGCTGACTTAGCTGTAAAGTTGAGAATACGCATTCGGCAGCTGTCGAAAATCAATGATTTGAGTTAATAATTTACAAATATTTTTGATGTAAAAACACATGAGCCTGACTTTTACTTCAGCAAAGACCTGATGTCTCATTTATCAAATTTTGTGTAAAACCTTCATAAGTAAACATACAGCAGAATAATTAGTTCTTTATTTTTTAAAGATTATGGCTCATATGATTATTTAAAGTGGTTAATTTAAGTCAATAATTAATTTAAATATTTTTACTTAAAGTTTACTTGTAGCTGCTCACATTTATAGATCACAAATATTGCATTGTGAAGGGCATATGAACATTTTCCCCATTTTGTGCACTTTTATAAATGAGACCGCTGTTCTGATGCTCATTTACATTATAATGAGCATTACAGAGTCACATTGGCATAAGCAACACAACATTTGATCAGAGCAGTCAGATTGAAGTGGATGTCCAGAAATGAGAATTGAATATTTATTCATTCATTCATTTTCCTTTGGCTTTGTGCCTTATTTATCAGGGTCGCCACAGCAGAATGAACCGCCAACCTATCCAGCATATGTTTTACGCACACTCATACACTATGGCCAATTTTGTCAATCTATATCTCATATAGCGATGTGGGGAAAAACCAAGCACCTAGAAGAAACTCACATTAACAAAGGGAGAACATGCAACCTCCACACAGAAATGCCAACTGGCTCAACTCAAACCAGCGACCTTCTTTCTGTGAGGTGACAGTGCTAACCACTGAGCCATTGGGTCACCTTGAATATATATTTAAAGCACAAACGATTGTAGCTTGAAGTACATTTTGTCATCTTAGAATTTTAAGGTTCTATCTGACATTTTTGTCAAAATGACGTTATTGACATTCTTATTAAATGACAGCTTATTTACATTATGTGATATTTTTATAAGTGATTACATTTTAAGATCTTTGTTTAAAAAACAAAAAAGGTTTTATCTACACAGTCGAATTCTAGCTTGGCTCTATATAAGGTTCTTTCTGTGAGCCAATCAGCATTCCAAATGCAAGCACGAAGACCAATTAGAATTAGCTTTCTTTGTCATTTCACCAGACTACTCTGTTGACAGCAGAAAAAGACAAGAGAGAAACACAAAATCAGAGTTGACTAAATAATGCCGCACCACACAATACTAAGAAGAAACCTGAAATTAAAATATGTGTGTTAATGTGACGATTTAGAAGCATTTTTTGACATTGAGATGAAATGTTTAATTTTACATGGTTGTAAAAGAAACAGTTATTTAAAAAATGTAATATATTACATGTGAAACAATTTTATTTGTGTATATGTAGTCAGTGAATTTTTTTTTCAGTGTTGATAAAACTCATTTGCTTATTGTCTGTTTTCTTTTAAAGTCTTTAAATTTCTTTTTAATTCATATGAAGCATATAATTCAAAAAATATTGCCATATTAATTACATAAAATTAGCATCTGCACTGGACAAAATATTTAGTACAGCCTTGTATGCTTAATTTGAACTAGAAAAAAAAGATTTAACCTAAAACATTCAATAAATGTTATAGAAAGCAAAAATGTAGCTTTCTCAAACATCAACATATTGTTGTTGAGTTTTTTACTTAAATTAATAAGCAGACTGATTGTATTTGTTGAAAAGTAATGCTTCAATTAATGATCTGCCAGACAGAACCTTGATAATTCAAAGCGGAAAATGACTGTTTAGAATTAGAAGGCTCAATGTTTGTTTTACCCCAATTTTCAAATTTAAGAGAATTTTGATAATGTACATTTAGAGTACATTTAGGGTCTCTGTCATGTTAATATATGAAAGAGAGCTGTTACACACATATTGTTTGCTACAGTGCATCCGGAGAGTATTCAATGTGCTTCACTTTTCATCTGCATGTGATTTTTCAGGTTTTTTTATTGTTACTAAATTTGCAACAATTTCAAAATATCTGCAACATAAAAATAGTGGGAAAAGTGAAGCGTTATGAATAATTTCCGGATGCACTGTAAATGGAATGCAAAAACTTTGAAACTCAATATTTCAAAATCATTTAGAAAGCAGATAGAACCTTATAATTCCAAGGTGACGATTTGTAAAATTGTACTTCATTCATTTTAATCAAGACAAAAAAAAAAAAAAAGTAAGTAATAAGTATTGAATTATTTGTATACATTTCTTAAGTGTATAAATCTTGGCTTTCAAACTGGATTCCTGGAGGGCCGCAGCTCTGCACAGTTTTCCTCCAACCATAATCAAACACAGCTGATCCAAATAACCAAGGTGTTCAAGACTACTAGAGTATTAAGCAGGTGTGAGTTGGAGGTGGTTGGAGCTAAACTGTGCAGAGCCGTGGCCCTCCAGGAATTGAGTTTGAGACCACTGGTATAAATGATCACAACTGGATCAGTTTTGAAAAATGCAATTATATTTGTATGCTTGTACACTTTGTATGAATAACACATCCATGTGTTGTTCTGAATCTGTACTGCAATTGAACTAAACACATGATGTGTGCTGGTACCTGTGGTGTACCAATAGATGGCAGTGTTGTAATATAATAGCAAACTCAAACGGTCATGTGACACAAGTTCAAAAAAAGGTAACAAGACGTTTTCTTTGGGGAAAACAAGCCATTTATATCAAACGGCACAATTTACAGAGCTGCAATGCCACTTCACATCTTCATAACTGTGTTATCTCATAAATGATGCATTTAAGTATCAGTATTTGCGATGTACTACTACGAAAAATGAATACCACATTTTTAGTTGTCATCAGTTCTCTCTCCTTTGGTGCATCCTTTCTTTTACTTAGACACTTGACTTGTAAGTCTTATATAATAATAAACACCACTTCAGATCCAAATGCAAGATTCCGATTAAAAAGAAGTTTGGATGAAGTCCGGTTCAAAGATTATCTCCACAGAAATACATAAGCTATATCAATGTGCTGTAAAATCACTTCACAGATAAAGGGAAGGTGGCTCTCACATCTCTTGACTCTCTAGTGGTTCTTTAACATCTAACCTTTGCAGAAACTGAATTCAATAAAGATGAAAAGCCCGAGGAGTATGAGTTCTGAGTGAAATGATGAAGCAAAGTGGAGCGCGGTGTCAGCTTATTATTCAAGGGCATTGTTAACAAAGTGAGCACTGCCGCAATAAGTTTCAATCAGCGGTGTTGCCTTGGCTACATCTCTCTCCAGTGCTCACCTCTGAATGTGGAGTTTCTGAGCTAAGAGCTGCCAGTCCTTGCCCTTGGCGTTGGCAGTATCGAAGGTGGTGCAGATCCGCTGACGAATGGACAGGGGGATTTTGAAGGCTTTGGCCCCTGTCTGTGAAGTCACCGTGCAATCTGCCTGCATAAAAAATGGGACTGTCTCTTTCTCATTCTGAAAAAGGGAAAAAATGTACAGATGAGTTATTGGCAGACATATTTATTTGTCTACAAAGAGGCTGGAAGAATTACTGTCACACAGCAACTTTAAAAATAAATGACTTAAAAAAAATATTGTGGGGCAGACCACACCAAGAAGGTCACTGGTTCAAGGCTAAGCTGGGTCAGTTGGCGTTTCTGTGTGGAGTTTGCATGTTCTTCCCGTATTGGTGTAGGTTTCCTCCGGGTACTCCAGTTTCCCCCACAAGTCCAAAAACATGTAGTATAGGTAAATTGGGTAGGGTAAATTGTCCATCGTGTATGTGTGTGAATGAGTTTGTATGAGGATGTTTCCCAGTGATGGGTTGCAGCTGGAAGGGCATCTGCTGCCTAAAACATATGCTGGATAAGTTGGCAGTTCATTCCACTAAGCCGAAAAGAAAATGAATGAATGATTGAATGAAATATTCCTTATTTTTATAATTATTAACCCATTTTCTTTTTCTTATTGAGCTTTTGTCTTATTTTCTGTGGAATTAAATTATTATTAATACATTTAAGCTTTAATATAAAAGCACTTCTTAAAAAGTCCAAACAACTTATCCGCCATATTTGTATACTTTTGAAAACAGGACTGAGTTTAAACTATTATTCACTTTCTTTTTCACCTCCTCTCACTTTAAAATCAAATATGGCGCCTACATAAGATTTTAAAAAAGTGTTTTTACAGCAATGCCGCATACTAACTATTTTTATGCATTTATTTATTTATTTATTTAATGTAAGGCAGCACACTTTAAAAACATTTAAAAAAATTGCCACTAATATCACCTTTTGTTCAATAAAAAGGTCCTATGGTTGTTAAAGGCTCAATAATGAGAAATTGATGCAAATAATCACAAAGGATTTTATTGTTATCATTACTTAACATGAACTAGTAATAAACAATTTTTCCTAAATTACAGCATTTATTAATATTAGTACGTTTTAAAAAAGCGGCAACCCCCTGCTCTCCCTCGGGAAGGCAATATGGAAGTAACTGAAGCTGCAATTCATCAAAATTTCGCTAGTCCTGTCAAATTTCAATTGAGCCCAATGTTAGAATGGCCAACTTTTATAACAGGAAAAAAAAGGTGTTTACAGCCTGTTACAAAGAACGATTTTGGTTCATATAGCTAATATTACCCTTCATGACAACTGTGAGGGGATTTTTTTTTAACCCATCCATTTCCTTTTTATTAGGTTATATTAAGTTTGCATAATTAAGGGCGTGGCCACTTGAGTGACAGCTAGGTCTCGCTGGTTGCCGTCACTTCAGCTGACTCCGGCAGATTAGCTACTGAACTCAGAAAATTCATCATATTTTTGTTTTGTTTACGTGGCTTTACACAGTCAGTTGCCTTTTGGACTTATTTCTTACAATTATCAGATAATATGGGATGCTGTGTGCACTTAATTGTGGCAGGGCGCGACACTAAAATTTATTACTGCTTCTTATTCAAAAGCTTCAGTTGTTGCTGTTTTCTTTTTTAGTGGGTTACAATCACACCAAAATGTATTAAAATGTAAGTGAATTATAACAGAGCGAACCTTTCTGTAATCTAATAGTGCTGTGTGTTCTGTCAGTCTGACTGACTGACAGGGCTGTGCGATGCGTAAGGCCAGTAAACACGACAAAGCATTCAGTTATGATGAACACAGTTTCCATAATTATACTTTATTTATAGTTAAAGGTCTATGCTTCTGCAAACAATGACTTTATTTTGTTTCACTTCAGAATGCATCAATGTCGTTTTGTAGGTCTATTGGAGACATTCATAAATATTTCAAGCAAATCTAATAAATGTTGGAGGCATATTAGTTACCTAAATGCACTTTACCACACTTCAGCAGTGTTAATTTAAAAGCGCACAAGAAAATTTTCCCTTTGTGCACAAAGAGTGGAAATTGGTGCACAAGCAAAGAGATTTGCATGTTTGTATTAAATGAATGTGATCCTAACTTTTTATACTGCGCTCATGACATTTGTCATTGAAATAACGCCATAGATCACAGGTGTCAAACTCAGATCCAAAAGGGCCGCAGCTCTGCACAGTTTAGTTCCAACCCTAATTTAACACCTGATCAAACTAATTGAGTCCTTCAGGCTCGTTTGAAACCTACAGGTAAGTGTGTTGGAGCAGGGTTGGAACTAAACTGTGCAGGGCTTCGGCCCTCCAGGAGTTGAGTTTGACACCCCTGCCATAGATAGTTGGAAGATCTGTGTAAAAGGCCTGCCACCACAGCTGGACAAAATCCTACAGGAAACACTGTTTAACGCTGAATCTGATGGATTCCGATTTCTGCCTTCCAATCTGTCGCAGCATGAATCAATGTTTATCCATTTTCTCATTACTTTATTAATATGATTATTTGAATAAGTATTTAACTTTGAAATGATTTTGACTAATGAATGAAGTTATCACATTCTTTAATGTAATATAAGAATGTTCAGTGCATTTGTCTGTCTATTTTAACTCTATTTTCAGGAGCCACCAAACTAGGTCAGAGGTCACCTCGAGTGGAACTGAGGGGCACGATGACTGAAAACAACTGTATAATTATGTGTTAATACTGTCTAAAGTGATTTTGATATTATTATTAATATGTGTTTATTCTGTTTAAAGTGTCTTTCCTTTTTATTCAAGATAGACTTTGTGTAGCAAGAATATAGCAGTCTGAATGCTTTTTATACCAATTTTGAACTAGTTTGATAAGACAGAGTATGAAGAAACAACCTTGGGTTTTAATAACAAATGGTCTCTTGCATGTGTATATGTATCCGATGGGTCAGTTCTACAGGTCTGAGACAAGCTCTTAATTGTCTACGGGTGACTTAACCAAAACATTCCTATCTGGATTCAGATATGACCCAGCATTGACATCCATATTTAAAATGGTCTATCTTTGTTTTAACCAATCAGAACCTGTTACCTGAATCACACACTTTCTGGTCGTGTGTAGAGAGTAGCAGCCTAGGAACTTATTGCGAGGGTTGAAGCTGGTTTCTGCTGATGAAACTGCAAACTATATTCAGTAAACTTTATTTATTTGAATCTCTGAATACGGCTCATCTGACATCTGACAGACTGGTCCTTCTTTAAGATAAAACTGTAAATTATCCCTACAAAACGATATATTCTACAGCCCCAGTTCCAAACCTTCATGAGATTCTTACTTCTGTCAAACACAAAAGAAGATGATCTAAAGAAAGCTAAAAGCCTGTAACTGTTTACATAAACAAACACTATAGAAGTTGATGGTTACATGTTTCCAGCTTTCTTCAAAATATCTTCTTTTGTGTTACGGTTGAGTAAATGATGCCAGATTTTTCAGTTTTGGGTGAGCTATCGCTTTAAAAACAGGTAGAGCTGAAGTGACTCTGACCTCTCCCACTGAGGTGTAGACCTGCAGGATCTGCTCGTGACCTTTGACCTGCCGCACACTGATCTTGCAGGAGAGCTGGTTGGTGGCGGCGCTATGTCTCTGCAGTGAGAAGGCACAGTGCACAGGCTGCTGGTTACTATACCACACTTGGGTGAAGGAGAATTCCTGCAGCAGAACAAAAGAGAGAGAGAGAAATCAGAGAGCTGAGTCAGGGAAAACACCCCATCCATGAACAACGTGTGTTAAGAGGAGCGTCTCTAAGAGCATCGGTACAAAAGAGACACAATCTCTAATCCCCTTTAACGCCGCTGATGGGGGTCAACGCTGGGGTATGTACTGTACAACACACAGAATGTGGGAGGAGGGCAAGGGAAGGAAAAGCAGCGCTCTTTGATGTATAATTAATTTGGGCGAAGCAGCACGTCTGCAGGGAACGTCCTTGACCTCTCCTGCAACGTTTCTGCAGTCCTGCATATTGAAATGACCCGGTGTCAACAGTGATAGGAACCCTGAGGTGAAGAAATGCTCGATGGGACAGCAGATGCCTTAATGCCGGGATTAATTTCTCCCTCATGTAGGCGTACTAAAAGCACGTAACAGGAGACAGAAACACCTCTGAACTGATCAAATGGTTTAACCTAGAATCAAATACTGTCTTAGCGGTGTGTATTTGTATGCTAGGTAGGACAGTATCTCACTGCTCTGGGTTGAAATGTACAGAGATGTATGAGTGAAGAAGCTGAAAATGTTACTGTATTCTTTATGGAAAACATTTATTTATTAAACATTTATTTTAGATTATACGTCAATTTTAGACTTTAAAGGTTCAAGAAACTTTAGATTACTTTTTTTACAATTTTAACAGATTTTTGTGTGTTGAGCATCAATTAAGCCAACATTAGCTAACATTAGTCAGCTTTAATTTGTGGGGAAAACTGGATGATTTTGAACTTTTGTTAGCTATTTTCTTCTTCCGGGTTGAAAATCATTTTTGGACGGGATCAAAATCAGTGACGTAATTTTATCTGTCTGTCCTGTGATGACGTGTTGGTTCTATTATTATTCATAGCTGAGTTTACTTATCCTATGAGAAGACTCTGCTTCTTATTTATTCATGAAAGCATGTGCTTTCCAAAGGCGAGGCAGACCTCCCAAGCTGTGAGAACCAATGACTGGGTGAGACCGCGTCCGTGCATGTCACACAGTATTTAGCCATTCATGGAGGGCTGTTCGTATGTGTTTGTTTCCATGATCCACAGGGTTTGTTGCATGTTTTTCTCGTGATGCTGTCATGGCCGATACAGCAAAGCTGTTGGTTTGCTGCAAGCATTTTTGTCTGAAGAGCTGTACGGGAATTGGAGAATGGTGGACTTTGTCTTTTATCAGTTGAGTTTGTTACCATTCAGACACATCGCCTATATCCATGCTGCTTTGTTTGTCTATGTTGTAAATTCTCCAGATTACCGGCAGGGTTAACGGTTGGAATTTATAGGGCCATATAGGGCATATGTCTGCATTTAGAACCATGGATTCAGGAGTAGAGAAATCTACCTCATTTATAGTTGTGGTTATGTGTATATTAAATTGTGAATAACAAATGTAGCTCGGCATTAAATTACTTATGGTTTATTTCTTTGCATGTTAACTTTGCAAACTATAAAATCATGAGTCTCCTCACAGTTTGTCTCTCATTTTGAGAGCCAACTGACAGCAGCTGTTTGCTCCTCTCGTTTTTCCCTGCTCTGCTGGCCACACCCACCCCTTTTTTTGAAAAAAATAAAAAATAAAATAAATTTGAAGTAGACTTGAACTAAAAGAAGGGCCCTTTAAAAAAAAGTGAACATTTACACAAATATAACACTTTACTAAATGGGGTGTTCAAAAGACTGTCATGAAATCTTTATAATCATGACATGACATACGTCATGAATGTAAATAAGATTTTATGCATGCTTATGACAACTGTTATTAGGTGTCATTTGATCAGTTTTTCAATGGAACAAACTGAATTTCACATATTTTTAAGAGCATCATTAACATTTAATAACAAATTCAGCTTTTATCACTCTAGTTAAGGTTAAAAAAATTCATGACCCTGTTGTAAAATTCATGACATGGAAATGGCTTTATGACAATCATGTTTATGACAGATTTATGACAATTTTTGTTGTCTTAGTAATGTTACGTTTTTATGACTGGTTGTGATGTATTTGTTTATGTCAATTTGTCATAACAAACAAATCTTTCTTTGCATTTAAAATGACATAACTGAGCGAATGGCACTTAATGACAGTTGTTGTAAGCATGCATAAATTCTCATTTACTTTCATGATGTGTCATGTCATGGTTATAAAGGTTTCATAACTTATGAAACTTTTGGCATTACTTTTTTTTTTGAAGGGGTCTAATGAACACCACTTCAAGTAAAGTGTTGCACAAATATGTTTGTCTGTTGCATTGTGTGAATTAGGCATGGGCCGGTATTAGATTCTGATGGGATGATAACCTTGGAAAAAAATATCATGATTTAACAGTATCACGGACCATTGTGGTTACTGTTTGAACTACTTTCCCCCCCATTGAACCAATATATTTTATTCTATATAAAAATGTTAAATATTTTGGAACAGTAAACATGTCGGGCTAAATAATTAAAATAAACCATTGACATCTGCTGTCTTCATCAGTTTAAAAACACAGACTTATTTACAACATGGATAGGCATCTTTAGATATCTTTTTTGGATATAAAGTAAGCCACTGCACTGTTCAGGTCTATAGCATGCCTGGATGTTAATGTATAAGATATTTTAAATTCCTGAAAGGTTTGCTCAATCACGGACTGAGCAGTAGCTTTTAATGTAGATGCTTCTTTTCTGCTGGAGATACTGTTGCCCTAAAAACTAAATAATATAGTCATAAAAAACACGCAATGAAAAAACAGAAACAGAAAATTTTAACAGTTTAACACATTGACAGCTATAAACCTAAAAACCGGTTATAATCCCATGTGTAGTGTGAATGAAGGTATATGTTTATTATTGGATTTATTTATTGGCTAATTCGTTAATTCATTGGCAAACTTCATGAAGGGAATGTTAAGAACCAGGCAAAATGGTACAAAATGTTTTATTTTATATCACATAAGCTCACCTATTGCACATTACAGCACTGGTCAGAGTAGGCTAGTAATGTTTGCATGTTACCTGACAGGTGGTGAAGGGTTTGATGCTCCACAGAAACTGAGGGATATCCTGGATGGACACCTGCAGACTGAGGCAGTTTCCTTTGAAGAACAGTGTCTTGGGCTCTTCTAAAAGCTGACCTCCTCTGCAGGTTTCAGCTGTGACCACTCCCTGTGGACAAACACAGGAAAAACAGAGAACGCTGGGAATTAAAAAAAACCATAGTGGTAGGGAAAGAATATGTGCACAGACTGGAAAACCACAGTAATGCAGAAAGAAATGACTACAATGGCTAAAATAGGCTAAATCACTCTCTGCCAATCTCAAGTCTAACATCTTGTCAACCCATTGTGGTTAAAATTCAACACAACAAACATTATCTGAACTTGATGTCGAGCAGCTAAAAAAAGGTACAATCTCTGGAAGGAACAAAAGCTCCACGGCTAATAAACATGCAGAAATATAAAAAAGCTTTCAAACAAAGTGTTGGTTAAAGCTTTGAAAAGAAAATTGAATTTAAATTGATTACTGGCTTCTTTGATTTCAAGCGTGGCAGTGTTCATCTGTCAAAACTGCTTTGTGTTTCACTGGATTTCAGAGATGAGTGCTCTCTTTGTGTGTATGTGTGTGTGTTTGTGTGTGAGAGAGCACGCAGAAGTCTGAGCACTCATGCAAGACAACAGTAATTGACTTTGACTTTTGTATCCTCTGAGTGTGTGTTTGAAAATAGCACTGACCAAAGCAGACATATTCTGATCACACACTTAAAGCATCATCATTCTGAACTCACATTCTCACCAGCGGTCTCAAAGTGTAGACCTCATTGCAGATCCAGTCTATCTCTGCTGTAATCTTGCTGTGATGCTCCACAGATGTTACACAGAAATGAATAGAGTTCTTTAATGAGTAAAAGAACTACAATTCCATGAAGCCAAGCAAATGATTTTTTTAGGTTAAATATTTGAGGTATTCAAATCATACTCATATTTAAATATCCCATTACCATTGCAAATATTAATTTGAAAGGGCAGGCACTAGTGTCCTTTCAGCAAAGTTTTTTGCCTGCTGCAATTGTGATTTAGCATTAAAGGTCTCGTGAAGTGCTTTGAAATGTGCATATTCATTCTATATTTGACGTAATCTCAATCAAAAGAAAGGATGGGACATGGTGTAGCTCCTCCCTTTAAAAAAAAAAACCAGACAATAGTTTTTTTTAAAATATATATATATATATATATATATATATATATATATATATATATATATATATATATATATATATATATATATATATATATATATATATATATTTTTTTTTTTTTTTAATCACAGCTCTGCAAGTGAGAGTGGTTGAGCTCAAATACATCAAATAAGAAGCGTTTTGAAGGGGTGGGGCATGTCAGATCCAACAGAAATACTCTCTAGGATCTAACAGGCCCCACCCCTTCAAGACAACAAGATTGGTTATGTGATGATAAGTATAGGTTGACGTGAATAAAACAATTGTACTATTTAGGTGGAAGTGACAAAACACAAGCTTTACATGTTAATATCAGTTTTTTATCTTCTAAACAGGAATTTTGTCACTGTTTTAGATCACACTAGCTTTTAGATATCTTAAAAATTAATATTACAAATACTATAACTTCATGGGACCTTTAAGCCTGACTTTTGTTCATTTTAACCTTAAAAAAACTGTTTAAAAAATGCAGCCTGATTGTTTCAGCATTGCAAATATGGGATGAATGATTTTGATGCAGATCTTCTGACCAATCAAATGCTTTTTCAAATTTGATGCATTTCCTTCCCCTACCCTAAAAAGATGCTAAAGCTTTGGCTGAAATTGGTCAATTGAAAACAACTGACATAAAGGGCATCTGGAAAGTATTCATGCTTCACTTTTTCCACATATTTTAATGTTACAGCCTTATTCCAAAATGGATTAAATTCATTTTTTTCCTCAAAATTCTACACACAATACCAACTAATGACAATGTGAAAAAAATATTTTTTGAAATTGATGCAAATTTATTAAAAATAAAAACCTGAAAAATCACATGTACATCAGTATTTACAGTCTTCGCTGTGAAGCTGTAAATTGAGCTCAGGAACATTCTGTTTCCACTGATCACTCTTGGGATGTTTCAGCAGCTTAATTGGAGTTCACTTGTGGTAAATTCTGTTGATTGGACAAGATTTGAAAAGCCAAACACCTGCTTATATATGGTCCCAGGGTTGATAGTGCATGTCAAAGCACAAACCAAGCATGAAGATAAAGGAATTGTCTGTTGACCTCCGAGACAGGATTGTCTCGAGGCACAAGGCTTGTGAAGGTTACAGCAACATTTCTGAAAGGTCTAATGAGCACAATAGCCTCCATCATTCGTAAGTGAGATGTTTTAAACCACCAAGATTCTTCTTAGAGCTGGCCAGCCATCTAAGCTGAGTGATCGGGAGAGCAGGGCTTAAGTCAACGAGGTGATTAATAACCCAATGATCACTTTGTCTGAGCTCCAGCATTCTTCCATGGAGAGAGGAGAACTTTACAGAAGAACAACCATCTGGAACAGGAATACTAGTCAGGATAGTGGGAAAGATGAATGCAGCAATGTACAGAGACATCGTGAATGAAAACCAGCTTCAGAGTGTTCTTGACCTCAGACTGGAGCGACGGTTCATCTTCCAGCAAGACAATGACCCAAAGCACACCACCAAAATATCAATAGAATGCCTTCACAACAACTCGTGAATGTCGTTGAGTGGCTCAGCCAGAGCCTAGATCTAAATCCTATTAAACATCACTGGAGAGATCTGAAAAATCGCTGTACACCGTCACTTCCCATCTAACCTGATAAAGCTAGAGAGGTACTGCAATGAAGAATGGCCAAAAATTCTCAAAGACAAGTGTGCCAAGCTTTTGGCATCATATTCAAAAAGACTTGAGGCTGTAATTGCTGACAAAGGTGCATCAACAAAGTATTAAGCAAATGCTGTGAATACTTGATTTATTTATTTATTTTTTTTGGTTTTTATTTTTTTTAAATAAATTTGCAACAATTTAAAAAACAATCTTTTTTCTCATTGGGCTATTGTGTGTAGAATTTTTTAAGAAATAAATTTAATCTATTTTAGAATAAGGCTAGAACATTAAAAAAAAAAGTGGAAAAAGTGAAGCGCTATGAATACTTTCCGGATGCACTGTATACAACATATAGGTCAGGTAATGTTCTTTAATGCCATATTTTTAAAATGCTATAGATGTCACGTTTAAATAAAATAGTGTATTAGCGTTTCATATAATAATGGATATAATAGGTATAAATACAAATACATTTATTTGTTTTGTTTTTTCAGTTGCAATGTTCAATATACTTAAGGAGGAGTCTATTACAAACATCCTTGTTCCAGTGATTAAGTCAGTGTAAACAAGCAACTTACTATATGTTCCAACTTAGGTCATGATACAATCTTGGATACAATGCTCATAACAAACTTTTGCACTAAATATAGGTCAGTATTTTTAACCAATAAGAAAATGTGCATAACTATGATGGAAAAAATCTTTACCATAAAAGAGGATGGCAAAAAACATGCGACTTACCTCGACAGATGATTTTGTAATTTGCCAAACCAGCACACAAATCTAATCACACGCCATCTTAAGTGTATTTTTAATCACTCTGAAATGTCCCAAAACTAAAATTGTTTTGGTATAATGACCTCCCAAATAAGGCTCACAAGTTTGTTTTCCCAAACATCATCTGCGTCTTGTTGGTATGCTCTGAAGTGCAACTCATTATGTTGGAATATTAATTGGAATTTTTCAGAAATTCACATTTTTAGCATTAATAGTTTTTGCTACTTTTCTAGGAAGTGACAATAATGTTTTTTGACCATATGGGATGGAAATGGTGCTTTGTTAGCAAATGTTTTATGCAAGCCTCTAATTTTCTGCATTACATTCGCAGCTTAATGAGCATATGTTCACTGTCCAGCTCTCACCTGAAAGGCATGTGGCGTATCGTCTACACAGTGCACTCGCAGGCTGTAGTCCAAAGAGGAAGCCTCCATACTGCCAAACACAGCAATCCTTAGTCTCTTTATGGCGGCATCGGTGATTGGCTCCCCCACCAGCGCATAACAGCCCGGCTGATCCAGCAACAAGTGACAGCTATGTGAGTCCATCAGGCAATAGCAGGAGGTTGATTCATCATCTACTGACATTATTTCCTGAAAACCCAAGAAAGAGACAGTAATGAAACATGCTCGCAAATCAGACATAGCTGCTTCTTCGATGAATATTTGCTAGTGTGTATAGTGCAAATGCATTATTGGCCAAAAGTAATATCCAGCCTATGGAAATTGAAAATCTTTACGCTGATGTTATGTTGATGTTGACTTTCTAAAAGCATATCAGACACCTGGAGAAAGTAAAACGTCTGTCTGTGCTCTTCATTTTAACTCTGTGCTGAAAAATGACTGCTATCACATTTACCAATGAAATATTTTTACATGATTACCATGTAGTCAGTGCACATATGAATTCCGGTGAGATATTTTCAATACATCGACAGTTGAAGTCAGAATTATTAGCCCCCCTTTTAATAGTTCTTTTCTTTTTTAAATATTTCCCAATTGATGGCAGCAATGTAATTTTCACAGTATGTCTGATAATATTTTTTCTTCTGGAGAAAGTCTTATTTGTTTTATTTCGGCAAGAATAAAAGCAGTTTTACATTTTTTAAACACCATTTTAAGGTCACAATTATTAGCCCCTTTAAGCTATTTTTTTAACCATCATTATACAATAACTTGCTAAATTACCCTGACCTGCCTAGTTAACCTAATTAACCTAGTTAAGCCTTTAAATGTCACTTTAAGCTTTATAGAAGTGTCTTGAAATATATCTAGTCAAATATTATTTACTGTCATTATGGCAAAGATAAAATAAATCAGTTTTTAGAAATAAGTTATTAAAACTATTATGTTTAGAAATGTGTGACACGGAAATTGGGAAAAAAATAAACAGGAGCGCTAATAATTCAGGGGCTAATAATTCTGACTTTGAACGTAATGTATGTAATGAAATAAAATCCATATTTCAGTAGACATGCAGCTTGACTTTTTTTGCCAATTAATTATTCATTGTAGCATCTTTAAAAGAAAATATTTAATGAAAATCACATTTGACTGCTGCTGTTTGAACTTTAAAGGTTTAGATTTGCAGTGATGAAACTTTATTTATTATTGCCTGACTGTCTCTGTAAGGCTTTTACATCTGTTTAGTATAAATGAATATAGAAAAAAAGGTCACTTAGCTAGACTTGACTTAATTATCTACCCAATTTTCATTTATTCACCCTTGTCATTTCAGGCCTACAAAACTTTCTTTTGTGCAACATACACTCACCAGCCACTATGTTAGGTACACCTGTCCAACGGCTCGTTAATGCAAATTTCAGCCAATCACATGGCAGCAGCTCAATGCATTAAGGTAGACATGGTCAAGACGAACTGCTGCAGTTCAAACCGAGCATCAGAATAGGGAAAAACTGTGATTTAATGAACTTTGAATGTGGCATGGTTGCTGGTGCCAGATGTGCTGGTCTGAGTATTTTAGAAACTGCTGAACTACTGAGATTTACACGCATAACCATCTATAGGGTTTACAGAAAATGGTCAGAAAAAGAGAAAATATCCAATGAGCGGCAGTTCTGTGGGTGCAAAAGCCTTCTTGATGCTAGTGGATGACCTACAGCAGCAGAAGACCACACAGGGTACCACTCAATTTGCACAGGCTCACCAAAATTGGACAATAGAATTAATAATTAATTAATAGTAATTAATTGTTATTATGACTAATTTTTGTTTTTGTTTGGTAAAACCTTCTCTTTGAAGAGCTTTTGTGTTCTTTTGGAAGCTTTTAATTAATTGAAGTTGTGTGTGAGCTTAAATTACATCTAATAGATGTCCAAACATAGATGCCTTGGCTAAAATAAGGATACATTTGGTCAATGATATAAAACAATTAATAGATGTCTAACAACAGTCCACAAATAGTTCAATTAAACAGACTTCACATGTGTAGTCATTCATTCCTGTCTATTTTAGTCTGTTTTGGGATTATTGTTAGACGTCCATTAGACTGACAGTCCATATTTAGCTTGTTTTGGCCAAGACGACTATGTTTAGATTACTGTTACAGGTAGTTATTTTTTAAACAGTATAAATGCTGTCTGGTTTAAAGCCTCAGACTTAGATCATTGTAATTACATGGAATAATATTTCGTTATTTGAATTTGCAGGACAAAAAAAAAAAAAATGAAACAGCATGGCAGCAAATAATGATGACAGATTTTTCAATTTCGGGGTGAACTACCTATTTAACCGAGGAGCCTTTTCTTGCTGTCACAATAAAACCGTAGGAAACATTAGCAATTAGATTTAATTAACCTTACCAGACCTTTACAGGCTAACAAGCTTATCAGGAACAGCGAGTGCCAAAGAGCTGACTACAAGTTGTAAATTAAGCTCAGGAAATAAGATTATAATACATCCGCGTGCATTTGTATTTAAGGTCAATTTCATCTAGATGTTACATAGAGTAGATTTGTTCCAGGCTCAATGTGAAATGCTACTCCCAGCAAACATCTCATAAATGCAACCTCAGATTCTACAAGGTTTCTCATTGGTATGGGAGTCTTCAAAGAAACAGTCCTCACACAGATATACAGCTGCCGCAAGATGTTATTTTTTTCACCTCAGTGTGTGAAAGAATCTGAGCTCAGCCAGCATTTTCACCAGTGTAATTGTGTGATCAACTGGTGAAAGGAAATGCTAAATTGCGAGGTCACGTCTTTATTTCTCTGACAGGGTTAGACTAACATTAAGTCGACCACAAATATTCATACAAAAAGACCTCTTTTCTTTTTTCGGACAAATGTCCATTTGGTTATGTGACAGCAGCTCTTCAAAGTAATGTAGATAAAAACAGAATTACATTTTGGAGAAACCACCCTTTCTAAACGGATAGAACTGAAATGTGTATAAATGTGTTTCTCGGACAATTCAGTGATGTAGTCGGCAGTTTTTATACAATTACTTCAGTCATCTCCCATACTCTGACTAGTTCAAATAAAACTGTTAGAAGAATGGGGGGAAAAAACTCTGACAGCTAACACGTTTTCATGAAGACTGCCGATAGCAATCTTAAGGATAAGTACTGCGCATTGGGATAATCTGAAATTCATCTAAATAATGACTCATGCTGGTGGTCAGACACAAAAGAGAAGGTTATTATCTTAAAGCCTTCAACAATGCTATGGGCTTGCGATAAACAAACTCTGCTGCCAAAGTAAACTTTCATTAATATATCAGCTTTAAGATTATGATGACAGTTAAGCTTTTAGACCGGTGCCACAGTAAAACACGCAGAACTAGGGTTGTATCAGTGGAAGAATCCTGATGTCCTGCAGTATTCTTTGAATCAATAATTCTACTTCCAGTTTAACCATTATTTAAAATCTTTATAAATACATAGATGTAAATGGGACGGAACATATTTGTTCTTGATTCTTTATTAATCAGAATGAATAATATGTTTTTGCTGACATATATAATACAATTACGATTGCATAAATAATACAAGTATCTAAAATTCTGAATATAGAAATATAGAAGCAGGCTGTGATACACAAATAATACATGTTGGGGGGAAATTTTCCCTTTTAACCCTGTGATGGGTTGCAGCTGGAAGGGCATCTGCTGCGCAAAACACAAGTGCATAAGTTGGTGGTTCATTCTGCCGTGGTGACCCAAGATTAATAGAGGGACTAAGCCGAAAAGAAAATGAATGAATGAATGAAGGTTAAAACCACATTAGGTGAAATAAAATGATTGTGAGATAAAAACTGAGAGCAATTGCTGCCATGTTGTATGGAATTACACGTCTATTGACAGAATTGTCAAAAGTGGCAAAGATGGTTCTAGAAACTAGCCATTACAAATAATCAATGATCCACAAAAGTGAATACTTTATTATATAAAGACATGCTGTGCACATTCAAATCAAGACTTAAAACACATCTGTTTAGCTGTGCCTTTACTGAATGAACACTGTGCTATGTCCGACAGATCGCACTATTATGTCTTTTCTTTTCTTATCCTTTTATAACCTGTTTTAACACATTTTAATCGGTTTTTACCTGTTTTTAATAATTTTAAATTCTTTTAATTCTTTTATTCTTGTTTATGTAAAGCACTTTCAATTTCCATTGTGTATGAAATGTGCTATATGCATAAACTTGCCTTGCCTGTGTAAAAAGTGATGATTGACATGCTATTTTTTGCAAAACATTATTAATACCTTTCTCCTGAAAAACTGCTGTCATCTAGAACTAGAATCAGATGTGTTCATCTGAAAACACTCAATAACATACAGTGCTCAGCATAATTGAGTACACCCCATTTTGAAGATGAATATTTTTATCCATTTCTCAATGAATATAGGCAATGCATTTTGGTGCATTTAAACGAAACAGATTTAGTAATATTTTAGTCACCTAACATATTTAGAAACGTATAGAAAATACAATTAAATTCAAGTACAATATTGCAAAAAAATATATAAAAATACAACCTACAAAATTTCAACTAAATTTTTCTATTTTTTTGATTCTCTTGATTTTTCCTCTTTTTCTAAAATTTGTATTTAATATTTTTCTATAACATTAATTTGGGTGTACTAGTTTTTGGACCGTTATTGTAAGTTATTTTGTTAGATAAGCTTAAGTTTTGGCTTCAGTAATGACCAATCTAATGTATATGCACTAATCTAAATTTATTAAAATCCTATTAAAAATGAGATAAAATGAGGGATTTGTGAGGGGTGCACTTATATATGCTGAACACTGTGTAATATGTGAATTCTCTACAGCATTTACTACACAAGATGCTTCAAGTAACCCTATTGTAATGTTTGTTTGTTTTTTGCAAATAAATAAACATTAGAAATAGTGTGCAACACATACAACATGACTTACGGTACTAAAGTATTGTCAATATCACTGTTTCAAAAATACAGCAGCATTGTCAGGGACTAAGACAAATGTTAGTGATTGTAGTAGGGTCAGGGGGGACGTCCTGTCCATGACTCCTGTCCTGATTGCCTCGCGTCAGCTCTTATTTCAGGTGGTCTTCTAGTACATCTGGATCGATATATCTTGGGCCTGATGGGGCTTTACCCTGATGCTCCTGCTGTTCAGCTGCCATGCACCGTGTGTCTTTCCAGCTATTACAGGCTGTAATTGTTTTTTCCTTGAGCACTTCACTGTCGCAGCCTCCTCTGAGGAGCTGCTGTCCCTGGATCTCTTGTGCGATCGCCTAATCAACACATTTTTAAAACACGCACAGCCCTGAAGGCTCCCACAAGCAGTTAAGGGATGCAGTTCAAATGCATTTCACTTATAATTGGCACACTTTTCCAGGTTAGCTATATTACAAAGCTTTAGCAGTATAACATATATGTTTAATTATTAGAGTCTGGGAAGTGTTCAATTGTTTTTTAAATTTTGTGTTGATGAAGGTGTTAACCCAGTGCTAAAAACTGACAATGTTGTCGGTCTTGGTTTAGTTGTGAATGGCACCGAACGGAATTTGAAATGAATTTGCTGTGAAACACACTGAAGTCGTGTCTTTGTTCCTACCTCCCACTTGTTGTCCTTGGTTTGTCTCTTGAGTTTAATGTTCCAGTTTTCGGCGCTGACTTCAGCACAATGAGCTATCGTCATGGCAACAGGACAGGACAGGCTTAGGCCCGGAGGTCCATATGTGATCTCTGGCCCCAGTAGAATCTCACACCTCTCCTCTGATTGGGCACTACAAAAAAAACAAACAAAAGTTAATATAATCAGTCACTGCCAATTTCAAAACAACCTTGTTCAGGAAGCATATGTTAGACTGATAAAGGGCAATAAAGAAATTAATGTTACAAAATATTTCCATTTCAAATGTATTTTTAGCTTTCGTTTCATCGGAGAATTCATAATGAAATTCAGTAATTTTTTATAGTAATTTTAATATATATATATATATATATATATATATATATATATATATATATATATATATATATATATATATATATATATATATATATATATATATATATATAGTTGAAGTCAGGATTATTAGCCCCCCCTGTTTTTTCCCCCCATTTTCTGTTTAATGTGTTTTCCAACAAATTTCTAAACATAATAGTTTTAATAACTCATTTCTAATAACTCATTTCTTTTATCTTTGCCATGATGACAGCAAATAATATTTGACTAGATATTTTTCAAGAAACAACAACAAGGGCACACAGTTTACCACTTTTTTATGATTTAATATTAATATTATGGTTGTTCTGAGTGTGCCAGTTTTGGTTCAGTTCAAAACACAGTTCAGATTCTTTTATTATAATGTGTTAAAAAGTGTTATTTTGGGGTCGTGAACACAGCTTGCTGTTTTAGGGGTGTGTTGCTTCAAATGAAAATTAGTTTCAACTTCCCGCACAACGTTACAAGGGGGCGGAGCCAAGAGCTTCCCTGCTTTGTGTTTGCAACAGACAGGCATACAAAGAGAAGCAACATGAGTGAGAGGACCAGCATTCAGCCCTACATGTACGACTCGGACACAGACCCAGCAGAGAGTACAAAATCATTTGTGTCTTTGTATAGCTTTACAGCCAACTGTGTGCTAGTTAAAAGTTCTGAACTTGTACACCGAGACTAATAACCACGCACACTAAATTAACTTTGACTGAGGCACTGGATGCACCGCTCGGAGCCGTGACATGGCACACCGGACACGCACATTCAGATGTTATTCAGATGGAACTCTGTGGCGCAGAAGAAACATGAAGTGTCCTGAATTGTGGCTGGGCGCCGCGGACAGCCGCCGACTTAAAGCGTCGTTGTGTGTACCCTGAATGAAACATATGTTTGGAATTTTAAAAAGCATAGTGCCGTGTTGCGCGATGCTGAGTGCTTCTAGTATGCGACCTGCAGGCAAGTTCGTTATTTTATTTCCAATGGAGAGACGCGCATGTGAGGCAACACCCTCACACTTTCCAGCTGCACCTAGTTAAGATCACAGCGAGGAAATGCAAACGGCTGAAGTTTAAGATAGACGCAATGAAAAGTACACATGTTTGCAAACCTACCTAAACAAACAATAATTCCGATTAGAGTGATCATGTGGTGAATGTTGATCTTGTGTTGAGCCCAATGAGCCTTACATCTAAAAATAGAGCAAGGATGTTCCTTAAGTGACATTGCTTTGACTCTGAAAATGGCGGACGTGAAACAACAAACGAAGGATGGTAATGTGCCTGTCAATCAATATTGGTGGGCGGGTGGACCGCACTCCTTCATCAAGGTGTGGTCGCTCTGAAAACCGCTCTAATTGGTCCACTGTTTTTATGTTGTTAAATAAAATCTTTAAGTGTCATTACCAAAAGAAGATATTTTGAAAAATGTAACCATTGACTTTCATAGAATTAGTTTTTTCCAATCTACGTTTAAGAATATATATTAAAACAGGAAATAATCAGTTGGAATTATAAAAAATATTTCACAATAATACTGTTTTCTTCAGATTCGTTAAGTAAATGCAGTCTTAAGCATTATAGACTTCTTTCTAAAGCGGGAAAAAAAAACTAATCACTCATATTTGGTAAAAACAAAAAGTGCAAAAAAAATGATATTTGGCAGATGTTTTACACAAAACAAATGAAAATGATTTCAATGTGTCTTATCGCATGATGCAAATCTTGTTCATAGTTGGCACATTTAGTTAAGCAAACAAAGTGATCAGAAAACTAAAACGACAATGAAATACACAAAAACAAAAAAAAAATAAAAAATTCAGTGCCACAACCCAATAATAATAAAAACTGTCACGTCTACAGTCTACAGAAGCATTACAAACATGACTCAGAGAACCTTGATTTAAGGGAAGCTACTGATTCTCTGAGGGCACCAGAGTCGTTTACCAGCTCCTGCATATTCATAAGACAGAGCTTATGATCTTCTGGCCATTATCACTACCTTCCATCTTTTCCTTGTGGTGGTAAACCAAAACATTAAATCCACTAATGAGAAAAAGTTGATGAAGGGTGTGAACCAAGAAGACTAGTAATTGGATAGCCTGTACAATGTGAATAAAAATATGCAAACTATGTTGTAGTTTCATTATTATTCTAGCAAGAAAGGCTAGATGGACATTACAAATAAAGACAAAAGTGAGCAAATAAAACAAAAAAGTAAAAAAAAAAGTAATTGGTTAATTAATCAACCATTTAATAAATATTCTGATCATAAGCTGTGGATTTAGGCAAATTTTAGTATAAAGGGTTAGTTCACCCCCTAATTTAAGTTCTGTCATAATATGCCCAACCTCATATCATGTTATTTAAATCCCATAAGAAATTAGTTCATCTTCAGAACACAAATGAAGATGTTTAAGTTGAATCTGGGAGATGACAGTGCCTTTCTACATTTTAAAATGTTCATTCGTGATCATAAAATAACTTTACATTATTTTAGCAGTTTAAACAAAGTATTCTGAAGAGAGACAAATCATTTTTATATGGGTAACAGATTTGTTTATTAATTATTTTTTCACATGTGAATAACATGCTTAATTGTGAATAAAAGTCAGAATTAACTATATTCATAATATAAAGGAAATTGTGTAAAAAAATACATTAAACTCAAAAGGATTTATTTTATGATTTTTTAATGAAGCACCAGAACCCTTTAATACATAATTCTGTTGGATAATAGCTTGTCAAAGACATCTACTATTAAAAAATATCCAGCAACAAGGAAAAGTTTGGTTTTTCTACATTTCCAACTAACCCTTTTGTAAAAGAGAATTCATCACAAACTTTGAAAGTCTAGCAGCATCTCAGCATCACAAATGCATTAAGGATTTTACTGTATGCCCACAGGATGCAAGAAGCCTTTTCACTTTATCTGAATCTATATTAATTCAGCTTTGCTGAAGAGGGAATAAGGACTAAACCACTCTTTACAGCCAATCAGTCTGTCCTCTTCCAAACTCTCTTCAAGTGTTCTTCTATTTACATCTAATTACTATTCAGGCATGTCAAGTCTGTAGGAACTTCAATGTGATTCAAACCTCAATCAGATTCAACCTGAAAGAGGCTATGAAGGACAATGCATGATGAATGTTTGAAATGCTTCAGCTTTATGTGTGACATTCTTGAGGCATTTTGTTTTCCATTTTCAAAGTGTATTTAAACAAGCAACAAACAAAATACATATTTATTGTCTTTACATAATTACAACAAAAAGTAATCTGTATTTCAAAGCCAAATGTCCCTCTAAAGGGGTTCTAAAACTTTATAGAGATATTAAATAAAAGAAAATATTTTGAAAAATGCTGGTAACAGCCAGCCATTGCCTTCTGTAGTATTTTTCTGTCCTAGCATTATTCTGTTCTTTCATTTTTCTTTCACAGTATCTCCTGTAAACACTAAACAATGTTGGAACTTTACTTTTTGGGGTACATTTTTTAGGAAAAAAGTTTGCTAAAAAAAAAACATATGTTTTCAACACACACACACACACACACACACACACACACACACACACACACACACACACACACACACACACACACACACACACACACACACACACACACACACACACACACACACACACATTCATTACAACACTAGTTTGCATTTCCATGCTAGTCAAGGTTTCATAAGGTACTGCACTTCAAAATGAGTCTCAGCTCTTGTACCTTAAGTGCCTTGTCATGTTTTTACTACTCTTCTCCTCCTCCTCCTCATCATCATTGAGGGTCTCAAGCTTCTGCCTCTGTATTGAGAAGCATTATTTAAAAACACTTATGATTCACTGCTAAAGGGTCAGCCGTCAAAGTGCTGAGCATTAACGGACACTGTAGGAGGCGACAGGCAAACTTAATGCTTCCATTATGCATTCATTCTTTCATATGGGTATCTGACCGTGACTTTACACTGCAGTGTGGCAAATTGATCGGTAACTTGACTCGAAGGAATAATTCCACAAAAATGAAAAGTCTATAATCACTTACTCGTGTCTTTGGAAACTTGAATGACCTTCCATGTCCATACCCCTCTTTCCATAAATTGAAAGTGAATGCCGACCATGACTGCCATACAATATTTCCAAGGAATTTATTCATGAATAATGTCCTAAATCAAATCCTGTTCCTTATAGAAAGGCTTCAGAAGAGTTGAAATACAGCAGCCACATGATCAGCTCTGTTCAGCAGAATTAAGTCATACAGGTTTGCCATTTTAAACTTTACCATCCCTTTAAGATAAAATGTTACAGTGCTACTTCATGTATGAATTGAAACCCTTCTTAAAATTAAATCTTGTAATATTATTTAGGTTTATGTAGTTGTCACGATTACCAGCGATCATATTCCATAAGATCGCTGGATTGCATTTACAATAACTATGGACTACAAATCCGCCATTCAGGACTACATTTTCATACATGCACTCCGGTCACACTCACACATGCTTCCTCATCTAGACTGATTACTCGCACCACCTGAGGATTGTCAGAGACTAATTGCACACACTATTTAAACAACACACTCACTCATTCACTTCACGCCAAGTCTTGTTTATCTGTAGATGACATTACAACGCGTTATTCCTGTCTAGTTTTCCGGTGCTTCGACTTCAGCCTTGTTTACCTTTTGTCTCCATCTGCCGCCTGCCTTCTGACCTCTTGCCTGTTACTTCGATTACGATTCTGGATTGTTTTTCAATATACCTGTTTGCACCTGTATTGACCATTGCT